CCTGTAAATCAGTGCTCAGTAAAGGTAATATAATTGCCCGAAGGAAAATCCGTAAAACATTTGTAAATCATATCAATGATGTACTCAACTAAGGGTATCATAGTTGCTCGAAGGTACTACCTGTCCATCACCTGAAGGTGAAGCTATACGACACTGGGTTATACTTGTGAAAAAACATGGTAGGCCTCATCACCCGAAGGTGAAGCTGTATGAATCTGGGTTACGCCAGAAAAGAAACATATTGTAACAACCTGTCCTGAAATATTCATACGATTTTTAGAACAGAGGGGTATTTTTATAATTTCACTAAGTTGGGATATTTATTTTTGAAAAGGTTGCTTTTAGACCTTATTTTGTGTACCCAAGGAGGCCCATTGCTTTTGGGTTTGTATCCCAGCCCCAATCTCTCTCCCTCGCCTTTCTCGGTTTTCTCTCTCTATCTAGGTCTTTCCATCTCTTGCAGATCACTCTCTCTCCCTCCACATAACTCTCCGACCTCCTTCTCACCTCTCCCCTTTGAGAACCAACCCACACACCCACACCTCCACATCACATCAACGACAGCAACACCACTACCCACCACCAAGGATGGGTATTTTCTCTTCCTCCTTGCACAGTGGCGTTGCCACTGTTTAAAGGATTCTCTGGCAAGTTCCTACTTCCTCCAACATGGGTAAGTTTAGGTTGTCATTGAAGTGGTTTGGCATGTTTGAACGAAAAAAATGAACTCAGATCATTTTCCCAGTTTCCGGCGAGGACAAACGGTTTTGAGCTCTTTTCTCGGCCAACTACCGCCATTTCACAGCCTCTAATAGGTATATTTCGAACCCTTACTTCACAAGCTTCAATTTGACTATTTATACGTTGAGAATGGTTTCGTTTTGACCTTGATTAGAGTTCAAAAACTTCCCGGCCAAACTCCGGTGTTTTTCTTCCTTGGGTCCGATGAACCTAAACCCAGAACCTTGGTCCAGGCTTTTAAGCCTAAGCCCGTGTGAGCCCAAGTTCTTAACCCCTTTAACCCTTATAGGTCTAGCCCAAAACCCAATTGTAACACAGGCCCTTAGGTTGTCCAACTCGGGCCTTAGGCCTATTAAAACTAAGCCCAGAACCCAAATGATCCCAGGCCTTTGGGTTGTGGAACCGGCCCACTAGCCTTTGACCCAGCCTAGCCGAACTTGACCTTTGACTCGACCCATTGATCTGCCTTTGACCCGACCCCGTTGGAATGTTTTAAGGAAAATTTTTGGAATATTTCAAGGAATATTCCTAGAATATTCTCTAGAATATTCCCGTGTTGATTTTTTGTTGACTTTTTTTATATTTACGTGGGATCTTTCTTAGGGTAATTTGACGTCCTGAATCTGTTTTCGACGTCTGCTTTCCAAAATTCAATCATTTTAATAGAGTTTTATTAATTGGACCCTTTATGTGCTTAGGTGCATTTATTGTGGCGTTTCCGTCTTCATTAGTTTGGGTGGCTCTCGGCGGCAAAGTATTTGTGAGTGGATCCCTTCTAAAATACATGTTTTATAGTAGAAATGCATACATGAAAAACATGATTTAATGGTTATGTTTTTTGAAACACTTTATGAGTAAATTAGATTCACACTTTATGATTATCATGCTTACTGAGAATATTTTGGAATACCATACTTTATCGAACTTATGTTCTTTGTAGTATATATGTTAGATGACTATATACTATTTATGAACATGTTTTTACACTCTTTGTAGTATATATATGATGGATGACTATACTACGAAGTGGTTTTGAGATATATGCATTTATGTTGGAAAGATTATATTCAATGTATTTTTGTGCATATCTAGTGGTCAGCATTCTGCCTACGGGTGATGATACTTATATTGGCTTCAGCCGGGCGTGTGTAGGTGCCTACGGGCAGAAGATATTTTTATTGGCTTCAGCTGGGCACGTGTAGGTTGCTTCGGTCGGAAGAGTTCTATATACCTTCGGGTGATACTAATACCACTATTTAGCACACTATATGATATATGTTTTATGAAAGATGTTATGGCGTGCTAGTGTTTTCGGAAAACCTATTACATATTATACTATTGAGTTTTCATAAACTTTGGGGGTTAGTACGTTGAATAACTGTTTCGATATTATATATATATCAACTTGGTCCACTCATGTTTATTTTGCGCCCCTTCAGGATTTAGAATCTAGGCATACAATCCCGGCGTCAAGGCACTTCTGCATCGACATCTTTGAGTCCTCTCAGTGTATAACCCATTCCTTTGCTCATTCAATTTTTTATTATTTCTTTTTTAGTGTTCTAGTTAGTTGTATGCTCTGAACAAGTTCCTAAGTTGCATATTCATTGTATTTTAATTCATAACTTTTATTTATATTCGTTGTTCTCATGCATCCTAATATGGCTTCGTCACCTTCCGGTGTCGGCCAGCACGTGCCTACCCTGGTGTTCGGTGGATATCAAGGTTGAGTTTGTCAGTTTGGTATCATAGCGTGGTTTGTTCAGAGAATACTTAGGATCACATCATACTCTAGTAGTGTGTCGATCATGGCATCATTTGGATGTCACGACTTCCGGATTTGTTATATTTCGGCACGGTTGCGCAACCCTTATTTTGCATGAATAGTCACATCTTATGGAAGAAGAAGAAACTCATGTCATGATTGTACGTCATCGGTGACATAATGGATTGTTGGATGATTTTCAATATTGGACTGATACTTTGCAACGTGCATTCCTTAGGAATTAAGGGCAGAGTCGGTTGTACATTAAAGCGACATGAATTAGAAATCTCTAGGAGAGGAAGTCTAGTTAAGACCAGTTGTAGATCTGAAAGGGTGACGTCACTCTGCAATATGTGTTCCCTAGGAATTACGGGCGGAGTCGGATCTATATAGGAGTGTTAGGAAACGAAAAAATCTTAACAGTACAAGTTGGTTAAGACCAAATGGAAATCTAAAATGGTGATGTTACTCTGTGACATGCCTTCCCTAAGAATGGTGGGCAGAGTCATATCTCTTTGGAAATTACTTGAAACATTCAAAGTGCGTGTTGGAGAAAGCGAGAAAGCGAGCGAGAAAGCGAGTAAGCGCTAGTTATTTTGACGTTTAGTAAGTGGTAGTTGGTGGGATCGAACCAATGTTCTTAGACTCGTTCCCACTGGGGAAGTTGGTGTGGATCCTTAGAACAATCCCTGGCAATTGTTCTATCGTTAACATTTTTGCTTACTCCAACGACGAAGTCAAGTTCCCTAACTATCGACTGTTAGCTTTACACCAAAATTCCTCAAGGGTTGACTTCGTTTAAATTAAATACTCTCTTGGGAGACTCTTCGGTAGCAGACGTTATTCTCATCAATTTCCAAAAAGGGTTACGACTTGTTTTGGAAATTGAAAATCCTCACACGGAGTTATGAAATACTAATTATCCTTGGACTTGTTTTGACCCTCAAATTCTTGAGTGTTCTTTTAGCCTTCTCGACATGGTTTCTTGCTTAATCCGTAAGAAATTCACGATCGATCGTTTCCGTGAAAGTGTGTGCCCAGTTCTTATCAATTCAGACAGGAACGTCATTAGCATCGCCTTTTCACAAGCTTACCAGACTTACCAGAAAGAGTTCCACAAGGATGTGAGGTTTGAGCCATCTTTTAATAAGAGATTGATGAAGGTTGTAATGCAGATGGTCAGCAGATTGCATCACCAATCACTATCTTCATGCATAAATGAATGGTCACCTCTCATTATCTTGCTACAATTCATAAACATCATATCGTACTCTAGTAGTTCCTTTCCAACGATATGTGTTTGTCTCAATGCATCTTTCCACTACTCCACTCCAGGACCTTATTGTTCGTGAGTACGTGGATGTCGAAACACTTCTAGCAAATTTGATTGGTGCGTTCTGGAAAGGTAAGACAGCGCGATCGAGGTGAGAATCGAACTATTTATGCACACTCTCACATTACGGGGCAAAAATGGTAATTGTGCACCTTTGGGAAATTACTACTTGTTTATCGAGACAACAATGTGTTGTCAATATCGTAAGCGGCCAACTATAATATCGATAGCTTATTCATTGGTTCGTTAAGCAAGTGGGCAAATGGACCCGTTTACGATAGATGTTACTGAGTAGTCATTGTTGGGACTCGACCCAAAGGCACACACATGTTTTCTCATAGTACGTGATGTTACGTATGCTTAGGTAAGACCCACTTTCATTTTCGATTTTGGTTTCAGCATAAGTATTTTAACTTACCTTATTACAGTTTTGCCGGTATTTTCAAAGTTACAAAGGTTTGGTCGAGTTTTTCTACTTTCAGTTTTAAGTCTATACTAGTTTTCGACTTATATGTTGTTACATACCTATGTTGAAGCCATCATATTTTACGTACATATTTTTGACCTTACACTATTATATGTTTTCAACTTTATACCTTTATAAATTATGTTTCTACTTTTACACTGATGGGGGAAGAAGGTATGAGCCTGGAAGTACGAAAGATGGAATCATTGCAACCCAATCACGAAGGGGTGGCATTCTCCCTTTTGTGCAACCGCTCTTACTTGATTTCTTCATTACATATGTATATATTTTTCTTCTTCCTATCTTTGAGTATTTCAGTGTAACAAGTTATTTCAAATTTCGGGACGAAATTTTCTTAACGGGGGTAGATTGTAATAACCCGTCCCGAAATATTCATAATATTTTTTGAACGAAGGGGTATTTTTATAATTTCACTAAGTTGGGTAATTTATTTTTAAAAAGGTTGCTTTTGGACCTTATTTTGTGTGCCCAAGGGGGCCCATTGCTTTTGGGTTTGTCCCCCCGGCCCTAATCTTTCTCCCTCACCTCTCCCGGTTTTCTCTCAATCTCTTGGTCTCTCCCTCTCTCATGGATCACTCTTTCTCTCCCTCCACACAACTCTCGGACCTCCCTCTCATCTCTTCCCTCTAAGAACCAACCCACAGACCCACACCTCCACACCACATCAACGACAACAACACCACCACCCACCACCGGGGATGGGTCTTTTCTCTTCCTCCTTGCACAATGGCGTTCCCATTGTTTAAAGGATTCTCCAGCGAGTTCCTACTTCCTCCGACATGGGTAAGTTGTTTAACCACTCCAAATCTTTGTAAATGGTGATTATAAGTAAGTTTAGGTTGTCATTGAAGTGGTTTGGCGTGTTTAAACGCAGAAAATGAACTCATATCATTTTCCCAGTTTTCGACGATGACCGACGATATCGAGCACTTTTCCCGACCAACTCCGGCCATTTCACGACCTCCAATAGGTATATTTCGAACCCTTACTTCACAAGCTTCAATTTGACTATTTATACGTTGAAAATGGTTTCGTTTTGACCTTGATCAAAGTTCGAAAACTTCTCGGCCAAACTCCGGTGTTCTTCTTCCTTGGGTCGGGCTTTTAAGCCCAAGCCCGTGTAAGCCTAAGTCCTTAACCCCTTTAACCCTTGTAGGCCCAACCCAAAACCCATTTGTAACATAGGCCCTTGGGCCATCCAACTCGAGCTTTAGGCTCGTTACAACCAAGCCCAGAACCCAAAAAACCTCAAGCCTTTGGGCCGTGGAACCGACCCACTACCCTTTGACCCATCCCAGCTGAACCAGACCTTTGACCCAGCCCATTGATCGATCCGGTTGGAATGTTCCTAGAATATTATCTGGAATCTTCCATGTTGACTTTTTCAAAATTTACCCGGCATCCTTCTTAAGGTAATTCAACGTCCTGAATCCATTTTCGATGTTCGTTTTCCCAAATTCAATCATTTTAGTAGAGTTTTATTAATTGGACCCTTTATGTGCTTAGGTGCATTTACTATGGTGTTTCCGTCATGTGGATGTTAATTCCTCTGCAACTCGTTTTGGGTACTCTCAAAGTTTTCCCTTACCTTATATGATCATCTTAACTTTCTTATTCTCCATGAAAAGAATAAGGGCAAGTTATTTGTCCTTATGAACCATTGTGTTAAAGATCTAGGAAATTCCGTGATGCTTATTTGTATTCAACCGGCATCAGGCAAAGCTTCTTCTATGAGCTTGATGTGGAAACCAAGGCGAGTTTTCTCAGGTTACAGTCTTGCACAAAGAGCATTCCAAGCAAGCTGCAGGAAATTCATTAAGACAGCAAGCCTCCTAAAACAGGGTTCCTTTTAATACCTTGTGATCAGCTCAAGATGGAACTTGCCATATGGCTTATTGGTCAGTGCCCTCCATCTTTCCAGTAACAGTGTTGCTAAACATAAGTTGTCTAAGATCCGTTGTTGTACCATGAGACAAGGTTAGTCGGTAACTTCCACCAATTTACAATAGCTATATGATGAATGTTTATTTTTATTTTCTCCTCCAATTATTAGTTGTTTATGTTTCTAAACATTGCGAGTTAATATGTTTTCGCTAAACCTGTGTGCCAAATATCTATTAGGTGAGAGGGGGAGTCCTCATTATTGTCCCTCACCGATGTGAGATAGCGCATCAGCTATTGGTTGTTAAACCTGGCATTGGTTGCTGGGGCTTTTTGTGGATTGTTGCGTCATCTCATTTCGTATGGTAGACCCAATGCGTTACACCTGGTTTTTTGTGCTGAGCCAGTTGCTGGTCGGTCATGCTGTGGAAAAAAAAAACCTTTGTTTTCCTTCAATTTCTTTAGACGGTTTGTGTAGTATGTGTGTATGTATTGACTCAGATCGGAGGACAAAGCTGGACAAAACTTTTGACACCGTTAGATTTTAGCACTTTTCACGGCTGAGATGGTTTATGACAATATGGTTTCTTTTACTTTTTTTTTTTTGGTCAAAGAGTAGATATTATTAAAGATAAATAGGAATGTTTACATCTGACACCAAAATATTGAACAACCAGTCCGGCTCAAAGTTAATCCACAAATGTTGCCCCCCTCATACGCATCGCAAAAGAAGCCACATAATGCGCATCCTCATTACAGGCATGAGGAGAAAATAAAAACTCAACATAACACACTTGTTGTCGAAGATGAAGAATATCCCATAGAATACCTTCCATTGATGCCTCCAGAACCAAAACACCATTTAGCATCTCCACCAAAACCTTCGAATTCGAATCTAACTGAACACGCTCAAATCCCTTTTCCACACAAGCCCTCAAAGCCAATCTCATCACTTCTGCTTCCACCATCAAATTAGAACCACACAATAAGTCTCCCATACCTCCTGCACATTGAAAAATGCCAGCAAAATCCCTTGCAACCCATCCAATACCACCCCTATTCGTTTGCTTACACCAAGCCCCATCACAATTAACCTTAATAGTTCAAAAATGAGGCTTAACCCACCTATGATGCACCACATCCATACGAACCTGCTGCCTACACCTTCACAAATCAGTAACCTCCTGACTCTCCGTTATCTCCCTCCAATGCAAATGCAATAGATCCAACGCAGCACGCGGGTCACACATTGCCTTGTCAAAGACTACACTATTACGGCATTTCCATATCCTTCATAGTCCACATACTACCCATCGTACCAACTGGTCCAACTCCTCCTCACCATATCTAGTGCATAAACCCTTCCAACACTGCATAAAGTCAGCACCCTCCACCGTCCCTTAGTCCAACTGCAACGAAAAACCGAACCAAAGCACACGTGCAAACGAACATTGAAAAAACAAATGAACTAGTGTTTCCTCCTCCTCGTCACATAAAGGACAACAAGTCTCTAGTCGAATACCCCGTCTCCTTAAGTTAGAGCGAATTGCTACGACATTTCGACATCCCTTCCAAATAAAATGACGCAGCTTAGGTGGAATCCTCAAACGCCATACTTCCTTCCATGTAGCATCCTGATTAGTATCACTACTCGATTGACCAGTACCCCTACGCCCAAGCTCCCCATTCATAGACATATCTTGAGCAACTAAATACCCAGACTTCACCGAGTAAATCCCATTCCGAGGAAATCAATATGGTTTCTTTTACTAAATGAAGGTTATTTTCCGTGAACGTAAAAATTTTCACTGCCCTTGTTCCTGTTATGGGTGTATTCATTTCAATTGTTTGCCACGCAATTAAGAAGGTTCTTGTGTCATTTACAACAATATCCTTCCAAAACATCAAGGATGCAATGAGTCTGTCATTTACCATAAGAAAAAAACATCAAAAGGCATGTAATAACATGTAAATTCCGCAGCAAGATTCGAGTACCACAGCAGTTTTTCCGTGGCCTTAGATGTCAAGGACACAAAAGATGGTGTACTATTACTTATCCTCATAGACAACTCTTGAAGGTCCAGGAAATTCTGTCACGCCTACTTGTGTGAAACATTATATGGAAGCTTATTATACGATCTTGAAGTGAAAATTGAGGGAAGTTCCCTGAGTTTGCAGTCTTTCACAAACAACACTGCAAGCTGGGTGATTGCTGATCATCTCTGCGTATGGCTGCGCTCCATCCTTTGCAAGTAAACATGTAGCAATAATTCCTTATTTTGGTCTGGACATTAACTCGTACGATCTGTTGTTTTAACATTCATGGAAAAAGATTGTTTGGTATTATTAGGTATCTGAATTATCAGTTGCTCGTCCCCTGTGTCTTTGTTTCTATTCGATTCTATTATCACATTCTGTTCTGCGATATTTGAGAATCACAGTGAATACCTCGGCGTAGGTCCGGGATAATCCTTTGTTCCAGTCTGGGGCTATTCCATATGAGTAGGGTTTGAACGGCGTAATTTTCGGCGCCACGGATGTTAACCGTTTCTTTGAGGCCTCCTTTTACCATGGAGATTATGAACTGAAAATTACACCTTCAGCCACAGATTTCTCCTTGGAATCAGAGTTTGAATGTGACAACAACTCTGCAACTCTCATTGTTTATTTTTCCGATTTTCATGGAGCATTTAATTTTAGAATTACTCGTAATTTCGAGATAATCATTATCTGTTTAGGAAAGTAAGTACTTATTATGATAAATCGATATCATTAAATAAATCGAATCGAAGGAAAATATTTATTATGATAAATCAGTATTCATTAAATAAATCGAATCGTATCTTATCCCGTCCTTATATGAAAATTTGTTTCGTTATTTGTTTTGAATTCTTGCTCCCAAAGAAATGCAAAACGAACCTGTATTAGGATTGATATTCTTCCAACTGAGACGTACGCGTAGCCTATAAATAAGGGCTTATAAAGCATTGATTTATTCATTGTATTTAAATGGCAAGATCATCGCCGTTGAGCAATGGAGAGTCAGATTTAGAGAAAGAAGTACTGATGCGGCCCCGGCGCCATTTATCACCTGGTTTCCTTCCAAGTGAAGAGTCAGATGAAGAAGTCAGCATCATCCGAAGGACCAAGAGAGCTCGTCTGAGTCGTCCGAATCCTTTTGCTCCTCATACCAGGGTTAGGGCACCCAGGGCCAAAAGGGTTCGAGGAGATGTGGAAAGAGAAGAAGAGGAAAGTGATCACGACTTCACTCCTGTTACAATGGTTAGGGCATCCAGAGCCAGAAGAGGTCGGGGATACGCGGGAAGAGAAGAAGATGAAAGTGATAGTGATGGAAGTGAAGGAGATCGCTATAGTGACGGAGGTGAAGTAGATCACTATCGTGACGGAGGTGAAGTAGATCACTATCATGACAGGAGTGAAGAAGGAGATCGCTATCGTGACAGGAGTGAAGAAGGAGATGGCTATCGTGACAGGAGTGAAGAAGAAGATCGCTATCGTGATGGAAGTGAAGATGAAGAAAGAGAAGAAGATGATAAAATCGAAGTTGAAGACGAAGAGGAAAATAATGAAAGGTCTGATAAAACTATCATAACCCTAACTGACCCATATCTGTTTGAATGCCCAATTTGCTATGAACCTTTGACCATCCCTGTCTTCCAATGTGATCAAAATGGGCATATAGCTTGCTCCTCTTGCATCAGCAAAATGAATAACAAATGTCCCTCCTGCTCCGGGTCCATTTGCTCTAATCGTTGCCGTGCAATTGAGAAGATCCTTGAATCAGTTTCAACAATATCATGCCGAAATGCCAAGCATGGATGCAAAGAGTCGGTCACTTATGACAAAAGAAGTGAACATCAAAAGACTTGTGTGTACTCGCCTTGTTCATGCCCCCATATAGGCTGTGACTTTGTCGCTTCATCCAAGCAGATATGTCAACACTTCAGGCATAAACATTTTGGTTCGGCAAAACGATTTGAGTACCACTGCAGTTTTCCAGTTACCTTATCAGTTACTGACAAATTTGTGGTTTTCCAAGAAAAGAATGAAGGTACATTATTTGTTCTCAAGAACCATTGTGTTAAAGAACTAGGAAATGCCGTGACGCTTAGCTGTATTCAACCCAGCTCCACAGGAGGCTTCTTCTATGACCTTGTTGCAAAAACCAAGGGAAATCGCCTAAGATTACAGGCTTTCACAAAGAGCACTCCAAGAATTATAATTGATGATAGCCCTCCTAAAACAGGTTTCCACTTAATCCCAACTGATTTTATCAGTTCTTGCGGCCAGCTCAAGATGGATCTCTGCATATGGCCTGAGGATGACCACCCTATATCCATCCTTTGAAAGAATCGGTGTGCTGTTTGTTAATGTTTTACGATCCACTTTTTAATTAACATTGGAAAAGATTGTTTGGTACTCGGTAATAATTTGATTAGTGTCTAATGCAAGGCTTAGCCTTGTTAGTTTTTCATGTACTTCTCCCCCGATTAGTCGATTATAATGTTATTTTTACATTTTGAGCAAAACATATATTTGTATTTGTGCTTCCTTCTGTGTGGCAACATAACGAACGGTGAATTTGATGAATAAACATAAGATCGTTTCAGAGTATAGACGATACTTTCATGTTTGAAATTTCGATCTCTAAGAAGCCCTTCCTTTTGCTCTTCATATGCTCACAGTGCACTTACTCAGAATGGATATGCTATGTATGAATACTATTCTCATTTTCCTTGGTATATCCCATGTTTGGTAACACACAAAGAGAATTCTCCTCATGCTAATTCTTGAATTCTCCACCATCATATAAATTTCATAAGATAGTATAAAAAGCATAAAGGGTAGTGTAGAATGCTCATATTTCTGTAATATCCTCTCTCAATCTGTTGTTTCATATGCAACGAAAAGCTTTAAGCACCAATTACTCTAAGAAGGAGTTAGGCTGAAAACAAAAAATCGAAAATTACTTGTATGTCAATAGAAATCCCCAAAAACTAAGATTGGTTGGATGTTGGCCAAGATAAGAGTTCAAAATCTCACACTCAGGCTAAAGTCCACCCCCTCTCCCTTAGTGTAGATAATATCATTTGTTAAAAAAAAAAAATCAAAATAGAAAAACCAGCATAGGACTAAGCATGAATTAGTAAATGCAAAGATAATTTAAATTACCAATTTTTTATTTCTATGATATGAGAATGCGACTAGTAGTAACGTTTCTATGATTTGACAATACTCGAATAGGCTTCTTGCGATACAAGAAAAAAAGAAAACAAGAGAAATCTGGAGAATGATCAGAGAGAACCTTTATAGATTTGTGACCAAACATAAAGTGGAGGACCCTTGCTGTTGCTTTTGCTCTTGCTTATGTGCTTTTGGAGGACTTTCTCATTATTCTTGGCAGACACCAATTGACCTTATAGAAGATTACCAGATCAAAATATAAAGCTTTGTTTTCTTTTGATCGACTAGACACACTTGTTTTCGTTTACTTTAAAGTTGACTGTAAAATAGAAAGCTTCATACAATTTTCTTGGTCGACCATGTAAGCATAAACTCTAACAATTCATCA